CGAATCATGCAAAAATAATACTAACGGAAGTGCCCATATAAAGACATTAGACATGCTACAAAGATATTGACTGCATTAATTTAGATAGAAAAGGGATGGTATGATTTTCTGATTTTCTGAAAAAAGTGTTTTCAAAATTTACATTGTATATCAATAATATAGGTAAAAGGTCAATGCATAGTATGTCACTGTAGAAAAGAATAAGTCCTGTATATTTTCCCCTTGATATATTTGCCCTCCGGTTTAATTATTGTTTTTATATTTGATTACGAGCGAAAAAATTATTTTCAGAAGAGAAGTTAAACACTTTTTCATATACATTTGTATTATTATTATTATTATTATTTACCAAACTTATATAGCGCCCTTTTCATATACATGTTCAAAGGCGCTTTACAATGATATAAACTAATAACTAATTACAGCAGTACAATTTAAAAACTAAAACAGCATTCACATAATAAATCTACGACATAATAAGAACAAGAATATGAGACAATCAATTAAAATGTGGTATTTACCGTTTTACAATGATATAAAAACTAATAACTTATTACAGCAATACAATTTAAAATACTAAAACAGCATTCACATAAAAATCTACGACATACTAAGAACAAGAATATGAAACAATCAATTAAAATGTGGTATTAACTTAGTCGTTTAGAATTAAAATAATTGAATATCGACAACATACGATAAAATATTCTAGCGAAATTTCTAAAACACCAAATTAGAAATAATGTAATTTATAATCAACACCTTAATTATTTGTAACCGTCTTAAAAATATTAGCAGAATTAAAACAAATTGTAAAATTATGGTTGATATCACACAGTAGTCACACAGTTTTTTAAAATCACTGTCTCAGATTATTCACGATAAAACATAGGCTTGTTTGAAATAGTGTGTTTTAAGTGCACGTTTAAAAAAACACAATGAGCTCGAGTCTCTCACACCAGAAGGCAGATCGTTCCACAGTTTCGGAGCTGCATATTCAAATCGTCGGTCGCCAAAGGTTACAGTTTTACTCGTTGGTACCACTAAAGTAAGTGCTTTGTTCTGAGATCGTAGATTCCTTCGTGGTTTATAAACACATAACATTTCTTCCATATATTCCGGCGATTTTCCATTTAAAGCTTTGTAGGTATGTGTTAAAATTTTAAAACTGGATTCTGTATTGCACCGGAAGCCAATGTAATTCTTTAAGTACAGGTGTAATATGATCGTACCGTGAAGTTCTGGAGATGATGCGGGCAGCTGTATTTTGAACAATCTGCAGTTTGTTTATTAATGTTTGAGGTACTCCATACAATAATGCATTGCAGTAATCTAGGCGCGAAATGACCAATGAAGTGACAAGTTGTTTAGATGCATCAATTGTCAGATATTTTCGAATTCTTCCTATTTGTCTAAGCTGATCATAACATGATCTGCATACCGAATTGATGTGATCTTCCATGTTCATGTTTGAATCAAAGATGGCACCTAAATTTCTAACATTGACCGATTTGTTTATTTTAGAGTCACCCACGGTTATCGATAGATCTTCAATGTGTTTGGAGTTATACGGAGATGAGAACATGATGACTTCTGTTTTATCAGTATTTAGTTTAAGCATGTTTTCATTCATCCATGATATTATGTCTCGGAGACACGCTTGAATGCGTTGTAATGTTTCTTCCTTAGAAATGTCATCTAATGGTTTGAAAGATAGATACAGCTGTGAGTCATCGGCGTAGAGATGGTATTGCAGTCCGTGATCTTTGCAAATGGCACCAAGTGGTTTAGTGTACATAGTATAGAATTTTGGCCCTAAAACGGACCCCTGTGGAACACTAAAATTAAGTGTGACCGGCTTTGACAGCACACCGTTAATGTATACTGTCTGTTTTCTATCTTGAAGGTATGATGTTATCCACTCCAGTGGTTTTTCAGCAACTCCGAAAACATTTTCAAGTCTCTGTACTAAGGTTTTGTGATCTATTGTGTCGAAAGCTGCTGATAGATCTAGCATAACTAAGATTGTCACATTTCCATGGTCAAGGGATTTTAGTACATCATTTTGGACTTTGATAAGTGCAGTCTCTGTCGAATGGAACTTGCGATAGGCTGACTGATACTTTTCTTGAAGTTGATTTGTTGTCACATGTTCATCAATGCGAGAGCTTACTACTCTTTCAAGTGTTTTCGATACAAACGATAAATTTGAAACAGGTCGATAGTTTTTTAAAATGTTTTGATCCAATGTTGGTTTTTTCAGAAGGGGTTTAACATAAGACCTTTTAAACTCTGCGGGAACATTTCCTGTACTGAGAGAGATGTTGATAATGTTAGAAAGTAATGGTAAAAGTTCATCAAGGCACGATTTTAATAGCCATGTTGGTATAGGATCCAGTTCACATGATTTATTTGAAGAACTATTTATTATTTTCTTAATTTCTTCTTTTGATGCTTTCTCAAAGCGAGTCAGACTATTTTCAACGCCCATCTGTTCCGTTTCCACGTCACCTGGTTTAGAACTAATTTTGATTTTATTTCATCCCTGATGGTCTCTATTTTCTCAACAAAGAAATCACTGAACTCTTGTGGCAATTTATCAGTTTCTATGTTTGTTGGTAAAGATGTCTCAGTTGGACCATTCATTAGGTTTTGGTAATTTGAAACAATTGTTTTTGATCTCGACCACAGGATGTTACCTTATCAGAATAATGTTTTACTTTAGCCTCAACCAACATTTTATTTACTTTTGCACATTGATTTCTATATATTTCGTGGTCTATAGTCAATTTAGATGATTGCCAATTTCTTTCTAACTTGCGCCGCATATGTTTTGCGTCATGCAGCTCCTGGGTATACCAAGCACAAGAAGGTCGTAACACTATTGTTTTAGTTTGAATTGGAGCGTGCTTTTTCGAGCAAGGTGGAAAGAACATTCGTATATTCTCCTACAAGTTGTTCGAGATCGGTGTGTTCAAGATGTAAGAGTGTTGATGATTCAATATCACTCTTAAAGGAATCTATATCAATTGAGTTGAGTTTTCTATACGTCACTGACTTTCGGATAGGCGGAGGTTTTTTCAGCAACGGTATTGAATATAATTGCATAATGATCTTTTGTCACTTTTCCAGATTTGTTGTATAATGCGTTAATGTCTAAATTAATTCCTCTGAAAATTTCTGAAAAAAATAAGACGTATATTTTTAAAGTTTACATTGACATGTTTCAAAGTGAACAGACATTTGTTTCTATATAATTATGCTAATGTATGAAACGAATTATAAGACGAATCAAAAATCGGACAAAAATGTTTAAGAAATGATATCATTTTCGTAAAAAGAAAAAGAAAAAAAAAAAGATATTAAAAAGATTTTAAATAGCTTGTTTTTTACAATATTATCTTTCAAATAGTATTTAATCTTTTCTTCAGATCTGTGTGGTAAAAATGCAGATGTAATTAAATAAGAGATATTTAACTTAATACCTTGAATGTAAAATATAATCTCCTTCGACTTCAAAGAATCAGATAATCTAGTATAACATATAATCTACTTGAAATAGATATAGCTTATAATCTACCAAACAAGTGTGAAATAATGTTAACTTCCTTTTTGTGAAGCGGTAACTCCGCAAAAAGATAAAGTTTTTATTATAATAACAATACACTTCGTGGTATAATATCTGGACGCACATATGATCGCACATATGAAAAATCAAGAGTGAAAGATGGAAACATGATATGATCGATAATTGCAGACTTATTTGTTACATCGATATGTTTCCAAATCGTCTACGTTCAAGTTCAAGTGGCGACATGGCCGCGTAATTAACGCGTTGGATATTAAGTAATCTGTTTGTGTTCAAAATCCGTCAGTGGGTTGCTTCCTTAACTCCCCTTACTGGCCGGCGCGGAGTTTGTGCGCGGTACTGATTCGTTTACAGGTGTGTATAATTATGACCTTTAAGCGTTCCTTATTTACTTCTTACTATAAATATAATAACAAAAATAATGAATTTTTAGGTCATTTTAATGCAGAAAAACCCTCTTTTAAGACCAACAACGGGGTCATTATTGCTTATATGTTTGTCCATGGTATTTTTTTAGATTTTTATATGGCCTGTTCCTGGACAGAAGTAGTAATTGCAAGCACTCTCCCACCTGAAGAATTCAACATTTAACAAGTGGTCTCAATTAATATTTCTTAAATCGTTGCCTTTTTACGATAAGTTTAAGTGCTGCCGTAATTGATACATTAACCGTACTTATAAACTAAAGTGTAAGGGACGTAACACTTGACTGAAATTAAATTAAGTTGTAAAGAGTTATGCGATTAGAAAGCAACGGGAACAGAATATATTCTTCTGAGTAAAAAGCTTTTTTGCCGAAAAATGAACAGTTTTGAAGTATTTTCTTTTTATATATTTTTCATTTAATTTTTTGCTAATATTCTTAAAATATTCATATAGTTTATTAAAAATGTTTTTACTTGTCACTCTTTATATATTCAATACGTTGCATTTCAGTATTTTGAAAAGGCTGGTTTGTGTTGTGGCTTTATCTAATGTGTCATGTTGTATTTCTGCTTCGCGGAACCCCACTAAGGGAACACCTTTGTCGTATTTTAGCTCTGCGGGGCGTTGGTCGAAAATACGACAAGGTGGTAAATCTGTAGTATTTTCGCGTTTCACGGAAGGAAACTACGACATGGCACAAATCAGCCACCATAGATTTTTCAATTACAAAAGAGATTTAATGGCAGTTAATATCAACTAATTTATATTTTAAGACAATTTGTACCAAAAGTTAATTTTACCGAAACGCATTTTGTCAAAACGGTCCTGTCCGATTTGAATTATTTCTTCTTTTGTGACTTCTCAACGATCATAAATAGCTATCTAAACAACATAATTATCCAACCAAGCAATTAATATGATTTGTTCTTTTCCTTCTTTATAACTCATATTTGGAGCCACGATGTCTCGGAATTGTCATTTTATTTTCAATTTGTTCTTTAACAAATACCTCATTGCTTCTTCTTTATCCATCCAATTACAGAGTAAAATAGGACAAATCGCTATTTCGTTTATTTCACATGATTTGAAAATGTTCCAGTATCATATATTAACAATAACAATAGAAAGAAGTATGGTTTGTTTGTTTCTTTGATTGGGCTAAAGATCTTATAGGCGACTTTCCAGGAGGAGAGGTGCCCTTCCATGCATTGTTTCATGTACGAACGGGCACCTGAGTTCCGTAAGCTAGCTGGATAGCTTCCTCATATGAAAGAATCCAAAGTCCCTGTCAGGATTCGAACCAACAGCGGTGAGTGCCAAGTAGTTTGCAGTCAACGACCTTAACCACTCGGCCATGGACATGCCTAAAAAGTTATGGTAAACGGTTATGTTGGTACATTTACATGTATAGGCTTTGTTTCTAAAATACATGTATTAAATAAACAAAAATTCAATGAAAAATATATGAGCCGCGTCACGACAAAACCAACATATTGGGTTTGTGGCCAGCATGGATCCAGACCAGCCAGCGCATCCGCGCAGTCTGATCAGGATCCATGCTTTTCGCTGTCAGTTTAGAGTTGACAAGCGAACAGCATGGATCCTGATCAGACTGCGCGGATGCGCAGGATGGTCTGGATCCATGCTGGTCGCAAACGCGCTATGTTTGTCGTGACGCGGCTCATATATCAAATGAAATTTAGAAAAATTATGAAACGAATAAACAAGGAAAATGATTATATCCTTATATTATCTTTTTTTTCAAAGAAACTGACATTTTTCACAAGGATAATTCTGTTAACATAATGCAATATTGTTATAATATAAACAACATAAACAAAGTAGACGAATGATTAATAGCTTTTAAAGGGACTTTAAAACATGCGTATTAAAATGATTTTGTTATAGATGTTGTGCAAACAGAAATTTATAACGTTGGTTTAACAGAGGCTTTAATAAATTATTGTTGAAAAATAGGCCAACTTTTGGAATAATTATGACATTTATTTTAATAAGATGTTTACAGCTACAGACAAAAAGGGAAACGGCCAAAGTCTGAAATACTTATGTCTTAGTCCTCGACTTACAAACGTTAAAATTGTTCCCTTAATGTACGTGGTCACAAACATTTTCTAAACGATCAATGTTATCATTTTGCAGAAAGTCCGACAGAGGTCATGAAACATCTGGAGGAGTTAAAATGTTTTAAAAAGAAGTCAAATAGAGCATAACTTATTAAAACGTGTCTATAATTACTCAACTTAGTGATTTGTTCTTATCTTAAATGCTTTTCACCATGATTTACATCATAAAACAGCATAGAAATTGAAACATAGCTAAGTTTGATATTGACAGCAAAAACTGAATATAAGACAACAAAATCTTTTTAAAAAGAAGCTATTTAAAAGTCTCACCTATGATTGGTAAGAAAAACTGCACCCCGTCAGTTCCTTGCAGCATTTTCCCAAGAAATTAACATTCTAGGCTCTAGCTAAGACCATTTTATGCAGCATCCTGAAATCAACAAACATGTAAACTTTATATAATTAATGTTACAGGAATATTCTGAAAAAATATATTTTAAGACAAGATATAAATCCAGTAGTTGAAAAATTTATTCTTTGTATTATAAAGAAATTCAAATAAATAAATTAATAAGAATAAATTTCAATTTAACAAACCTGACAGTCCTTTTTATGTTGAATGTATGGTATACAGGCTACAGTGAATGTATGGTGTACAGGCTACAGCGAATGTATGGTATACAGGCTACAGCTGCAGTACTCTAAATTTCAGCCAGGACCAGGATCTAGAATATAAAATTATATATAATAAAATAGAAATAGATTTATTATTCCCCTTAAATTTACGACTATTAAACTTTAAAGTTAAACACTCAAATTTGTTTCTTAACTTAATAATAATCATTATAATGTATTTTTTCAAACTAATTAACACTGTATTATACTATCAATAAAATATAAGCATAGTTATATATATTGACGAATCGTCTTCGGACGTAAATTAAGTGGGCCGAACTACTTTATAGGTTTCAATTTTAAAATTGATTAAATTCTAAATAGGATATAGTACAGACAAATGTTTAATAATCTGCAATATAAATTAAAGAAAGACAAGATTTGTTAAATCATAAATTGCCAAGGACATCAATAACTTCATGCTTACAAGGCCTACCGAACCCAAATCATTCAATTAGGTCGCGAAAACGTGTCAAATCACCCCAATCATGTGCTTATATTTCTCATTTATTTCATAAAGTAAATTAAAGTAGAATTTAAAGAATACATAATAATATTTTAGAAAAAAATCAGTAAACTAAAGTAAAACATAACGGCAATACCTTCGAAATCCAAATAAATTGCCAATCGTGTTGTTTTCAAATTTTTCCAAACAGCGCCACCATTTGCACAAACGATAATCATAGACACACAACAAACAAAATCATAGACCGCAACAATTACTTCCCCTGACCGGCGTTATTTTATAAACGGGGTTTTAACTAATACCAATTTATTAATTAATATTATTCATAAAGAACTAAAAAATAAAACAACAAACAACAAAACATATTAACTAATATCTAAAGCGTTAATAGAAAGTGAAAAATTATTTCCAACTTTATTTGTGTAAGCGCTAATTTTGAATATACGGAAAAAGATTGTAACGCAAATTTTCCTGACAAAAATCACTTACAGACTAATTCAATAAAGAGATTAATATCACACAATTAGTGGTATAAAAGTTTATATAATGATTAAAAAAAATGTAAAACTTTGACCATAAACAACGTTGAATCAACGTTGTATAAATATTGGCAATATATCCGTATGGTCGTCCATAGTTGAATATTGGTTGAACAACGTCACGACCATATTTCAACGTTGTTTCAACGTTGAAACAACGTCGAGTGCCTGCTGGGCTGTGATGATCTGAATTTGTCAACTAAATCTAACTGTAACAAAAATAAGCCAAGAGAAGCAATAAACTGTCCTTTCCGTGCAAGTTTTAAGTGCACTGTAGGCCTACTTGAGAAGCTGTTTTTCTTTAATTCTTTAGGCAAGTGATGATATATACCAGTCATAAATATAAAATAAGCTGTGTTTCATTCAAAAAACAAAACACTAACCCATTTATAAGGTTATGATCTGTGAAATCTTATCCTTCTGCATCCAGAATATTCTTCGCATGGTTTTTGACAAATGCATTTAGAAAATAACGATGATATCCTACAGATGTCTGTCCACCAACTCTATCTGTAACGTTTCACTGGTTAAAATTGTTAAATTATCCTTTGTTGCATGCTTTAATTGTCAGCATGTTCCAGTTTGACACAAAATTATTTACATTACAATTATTTCCGTTGAAAACGGATGTTTTCTGTTGACTATTCAACAAAAATATATTTAATACGCGAAAGGGACTCTAGGGTCTAAGGTGCAATAATTACTACGGCGATGCATTATCGTCGAAAATAAGAATGAATCGAGAAAAAAATGGCGGCAATTTTATTTCATTTTATTTAGAAAATAGACCACGTGACCAGATTTTATACTGTTAAAAAATACTGTTACCTATGTAACATGTCAACATTTGTAGTCACGTGGTACACTTGGATTAACAGTAAGAATAACTCCCAGAGGCCTACGGGAAATTAGCATTACGAAAACTTGAGGGGTAATAAATATACTTATTATCAGCATTGTTTCGGTTATGACTTGATAGTACACGAAATAAGCGATACTGTTGCTTTCATGAAATTGTTTATATAACGCTGACAAGAATACTGTTGTGCAGTTGTAATTGAAAACATTGTAAGGCTTTATCTAACAACATTTTAAATCAGCACCGTGTCTGAAAACTATCTCTATATACAGCTGTTAAATAAACTTAAGTGGGCCCTCAAAAAAGTCCGTTGGTCTAGTCGTGATCTTGAGGGTAAATAATATGCAAATGTGGAAAGAGACTTTTATCCTATTTTGAAACAAGTAATAGTGTTATTTAAAATGATTTACATTTTGTTTTTATTTGTCAATACGTCAAACATATTTAAAAGGAGAATGAACACCAAAGGTTTATAAATATGTTGTCAGAGAAAAAGTAAAATCTTCGATTACCTAGTAAATATTAATCATCTTATTCAATGTTAAAAACATTCAACTATGAATATTTGTATTCATAACTAATACTTTGATATATATGTTCCAAATTCCAGTTTATACATTTCATTTAAATATATCAATATACTATTTGATTTATGTAAAATTCACTCTTTAAAATAATTATTTCTTTCATGGCACTTTATTTATCATCTGTAAGTAGATGCTTGTATTTTGGGCCAGAAGCCTTATAAAGCAAATACACTCATTGTCATTATCATGTAAAGCAATTGGAATCAATCATTAATAATCGTATCCATCTATTTCGAAAACACTACGTTATGTGGTAAAAATATAAAATGGGTAATAACTAGTTACAATTCATAACAAGATATTCATTTTCACATTTAAAAAAAACTCTAAGACTGGTAGATATATTAAACACGCCACACAAAACACAACAATCAACAACAATTGTTTACAACAGTCAATCCAGAACGTAAAACAGTGCATTCTATTAAATGTGCACTGCATTTTGGATTGAAAAATAACTTATAAAGATATTCAAAATGTAAGTGCTTCGCGCATTATTTGGTTACACTATTTTGTCTAAAATCTAGATTTCCAGAAAGACACAATTTATATGTCAAAGATCTAAAAGAAAATGTTAAAAGATCAGTCTCTCAAGTTTGTTATATAATTAATCATGATTATCCAATTCGAACATAAGACAGATCTGTTGATGGTAGCTAAGGGCACATTAAACTTAGATTATTCAAACAATGAAGGCTTAGCAGCCAGTATCACAAGCTTTGGTTTGATGGTGAATAAGATAAAATATGATACTAATAAAAACAAAACAAAAAAAAAATAAATAACTTTAATATGAATTAAGTTATTATTTTTTCTCTGATAGGGAACAAAACGAGATTTGCTCAAATATACCTTACCATTTTGTACACGCTTTACTATGTTATTATTACACTTCACCATTGTGTATAGAGTCTTCTTTTCTATAAACTTTATTATTTGTATAATTCTAGCCATTTTATTACACCTTTTAATTTTGTATACGTATTTCAGTTACCATTTTGTAACGCTTCAAAACTTTATATAGTATTACGCTTTATTATCTTATTATAACTTCAAAACTTTGTATTCTCTTACCAATTCATAAATGGTAAATACTTTTTGTACACGGGTTGCCATGTTTTGTCGCTTACCATTTAGTTTACTCTGTATATTTATACACTATGTACCTTGATGTATACATACTCGCCTAACCATTTAAATAAACTTCAACATTTTGTAGACAATTTTCCATTTTGTATACGCTTCATCACAAGATTCCAAGATAATCTACGCCTTTAGTAAATCAGACATGCTAAAAGTTAAGGTTAATTTGTTTACAGATTATAATAATTACAGTTTGAATAATGATTGAGTTGACAACATTATTTTTTTTAAAAAAATCTTTCTTGTCAGTGATCAATTTTGCCCCATACGGCTTGGTTCTTGATAACAAATTGATAAAAAAATGTTTTTATTGTTCTTGGTTTGATTTTCATCTAATGTTTGATGAGGGCACCGTCAGAAATTAAAAAACGAGTTTTTAATTTGTAAAATGTTCATGTTAGATTTTAAGAAAGCTCGAGGGCAATAATTTTTTTAATGTTATGGCATAATATGCACACGTTTTACATAGTAGAATTGTAGTTTCAGTTCTCATACAGCTGTAGCATTACAAACGCTTACATTTGTAAAGGTGTGTTTTGAATACAATCAGTTTATTTTCCCCATCTATTTGACTGTATAACATTTTTAGTGAAAAAAAAAAACACAACATTTCATTTTGCAATCAAAATTGAATATGATGTCATTGTAATAATTTAAGAGTGCAACCTGGTGGCATTTAATGGCAGAAATTTTCTTTTTGAATATACAGTCGAGACTGTCATATGCGACTTTCCAAGGGATCTTCAGAAAAAGGTCACATATGACAGGGAGTCTCTAAATACAGTCTCAAAAAGAAAATTAAATTTAAATACCATCTATCTGTCTATATACCATTGTGACTTAACATACATAACTGTGTGAAGGAATAATATCTAACCAATTGCAAATAAACATGGGTATTCGTAATTTTTTTTTATGTAAATAAAGTAAGAATCCATGTAAAACAAATATATATTAGCATGTATATCACATAAAATTTAATTTTATTTTTTGTATTGATGCATTCAAATCCATACTTGTAAAAGTTAAACATATCCATATCCAAATCTTTTTCTGGTTTGGTATCAATATTTTTTCCGTATTAATTATGCAGCCATAGAATGGTAAATTAAAACTAGAACTATCACTAAATGTGATTAATACCCCCACAAGAATGCTTCGGAAATGAGGATGTTACTAGTATCAAAGGGCAGTAACTCTGTATTTTGTCAAAATGGAGTTATGGCTCTTGTGCACTGCACTTCCTTTTAATGTCCTTGACAACTGTATGAAGTTGTATTGAATTCCAAACAGTAGTTTTCAAGTTATGCTCTGGTCAAGGAAAAGTAACAAAGGGCAATAACTCTGTAATTAGTCAAGATGGAGTAATGGTTCTTGTGCACTGCACTTCCTCTCAATGTGCTTGACCATTGTATGAAGTTATATTGAATTCCAACCATTAGTCTTCAAGTTATGGTCCGGACAAAAAAAGCAATGGAAAAGTAACAAAGGGCAATAACTCTGTAATTACTTTAGATAGAGTTATAGTTCTTGTGCACTGCACTTCCCCTTATTGTGTTTGACAATTGTATGAAGTTGTTTTGAATTCCAACCAGTTGTTTTCAAGTTATGCCCCTGACAAGGAAAAGTAACAAAGGGCAATAACTCTGTAATTAGTCAAGAAAGAGTTATGGTTCTTATGCACTGCACTTCCTCTCAATGTGCTTGACCATTGTATGTAGTTATATTGAATTCCAATCATTAGTCTTCAAGTTATGGTCCGGACAAAAAAATCAATGGAAAAGTAACAAAGGGCAATAACTCTGTAATTACTGTAGATAGAGTTATGGTTCTTGTGCACTGCACTTCCCCTTATTGTGTTTGACAATTGTATTAAGTTGTTTTGAATTCCAACCAGTTGTTTTCAAGTTATGCCTCGGACAAGGAAAAGTAACAAAGGGCAATAACTCTGTAATTAGTCAAGATAGAGTTATGGTTCTTATGCACTGCACTTCCTCTCAATGTGCTTGACCATTGTATTAGTTATATTGAATTCCAATCATTAGTCTTCAAGTTATGCTCCGGACAAGGAAAATGCAACGGACGTCTGGACCGACCGACCGACCGACCAACCGACCGACCGACCACCGGGTGACTCCTATATACCCCCCCCCCAAACTTCGTTTTTGGGGGTATAAAAATGCTGCCTAAAATATCTTCCGTTGGCACTCTAGAATTAAAAAAAACTGTACATTACACACACATCGATTGCATCATGCTTCCCATGAACAGACGCTTAGTGACGTCACTCGATACCTGTATACATGTTAACTGTGTAATTGAGACAGAGGTGTGTAGACTTTGTTTGCTACTGGATT